TGAATGAATGAACGAATGAATGAATGAATGAATGAACGAATGAATGAATGAATGAATGAATGAATGAACGAACGAACGAACGAACGAATGAATGAATGAATGAATGAATGAACGAACGAACGAATGAACGAATGAATGAATGAATGAATGAATGAATGAATGAATGAATGAACGAACGAACGAATGAATGAACGAATGAATGAACGAATGAATGAATGAATGAATGAATGAAAGAATGAATGAATGAATGAATGAATGAAATGTTTAACTATCTTCCTTTCTTTCGCCGCCATGACAGTGTCTATTTCGCACACATACATACGTACGTGATACATACATATATACATACATTCACACACACACACACGCACACCAACATATATATAAAGCAACAAACATCGACAAATTATTGATCATTAACAAACAACAATAGAAAAAGCGGTTGCAGTTTTGCACCTAACTTTGCAGTCACACACATACGCACACACACACACACACACACACACACACAATAACTTGTGGCCGGGCGGGATGCATTATATATAGTGGTTTAGTATCTTCAATTGAAAACTGAGTTCAAGTGCACCTAAATGAGAACATTTTTTGCGTGTTTAAACTTGTATATGCCAGTGCCAATGTTTGTTCGTTCGTTCGTTCGTTCGTTTGCTTGTTTGTTTGTTCGACTGTTGTTTGTAACATTTCAAGTGCAAACGCGCACGATAGCGAAGATCTATGACATAGTTTGATTGAATGGGTTTTCATCATTTATATCATTTATGTAAGTACTTCTGAAGGAAAAACCAAATTTTATTTGGGAATTTTTTAAAGAGACTGAATGATTTTTACATGGGGCCACTACACACGTATCGATCGATCGACCGAGAGAGAGAGAGAGAGAGAGAGAGAGAGAGAGAGAGAGAGAGAGAGAGAGAGAGAGAGAGAGAGAGAGAGAATGAGAGAGAGAGAGAGGGAGAGGGAGAGCCTATTCTTAGGCTTATTGATGGCTCTTGATGGGGTATCACCTCATTCCGTATCATTTCTTTCTGTTTGGGTGACTACGTTGCATAGAAAGAAGCATGTTTCATTGAAGTTTCAACTCAAAACATTCATCCTTCTCATTTTCGTTTTTGAATTTGAGTAACTTAATAAGTAACTAAACTTCTCAAGATGATTAATTTAATTTATTTTCCTGGTCCTGTTTCGCAGCTATCGGGTTCGAATGCAAAAAGATCTCACAGAGCATATACAATCCTTACTGTGGAACGTAGGCGCCTGGGTGGAAAACTTATAATTTTATAATCATGATTTTATTATAATTATATTATTATTATTTATTTATTATTTATTTATTATTATTATTATTGTTATATTATTATTATATTATTATCGCTAATTATTATTTATAAAATATTTTTATAATGAAACGTGACTAGATAGAAAAATAATTAATCCGAAGAATTATTTGCACTGAACACTAATGCATAATGGAAATCATGTTTCTCGTCATCTTTTATTATGATTAATAATAATAATAATAATAATAATAATAATAAGCATTTTGTATACTAATCCGACCAATAAATAATAAACCTAAACTTTAAAATCAATACCAACAACAACAATAATAATAATAATAATAATAAAGATGTTCTGTACGTACATGTATGTGCATGTTTGTATATGTGTTTTATTTTGTGCGTGCGTGTGTGCGTGTGCGTGTGTGCTATGTGTATTTTTTATTTTGTAGCAAGCTTATGAAGTGTTCCATAACTGATTTACATTAGAATATCAATTCAAATATTCTAAGTGGCACTTAAAATTTCATCCTTTCTGCAGTTTTCTGAAGACTCGCCGATCCACCACCACCAACAACATCAACAACATCAGCAACAACATCAGCAACAACAATTTTTTCACAACAACAACAACAATTACGTCATCAACAACATCAACAACGACAACGCTGACGTCATTCGGAGTTTATCCGAGAGTTACTACAGGAATGGCAATGACGAAACGTTGGTGTTCAAGAATTTCAAAACGGTAATTAGATTTCCATTAATATTATTGTTGTTATTATTATTACTATTGTTTGTTTGTTTCTGATTTTATTTCAATAGTCATCATTATCATCACTCTTGAAATTAAAAATGCTGGTTTATGTAAATTTGCGTTAATTTATGCTGAAATCGCACGTTATTAAGCATTTTCACTTTTGAAGAATCCGACATTCCAATAAGATCAATTTGAAATAACTTAATATAATTGTGTGTTCGTTTGTGAGTGAGTGTGTGTATGTGTGTGTGTGTGTGTGTGTGCGTGTTGCAGTGCATTCATCAATTTCATTTTTACGTATTCAAACTTCGATTAATACAAAACCTAAATAAGGTGTAGTGCCTAAAATTCCTTAACAAGTATGCTTATGCCACAAATTAAAGTTGAATATCAAAGTACATTCAATTTAAGAGCATTTGCATTCAGGTCATGCTTAGATTTAAATAGGTCAAATTGCTTAATTGGAGTTCTACGATTAATTGAATGAATGAATGAACGAATGAATCGAAGACTAAATGAGAGAATGAATGAATTACACATTCACGAGCATCGCATTGCAGCCAGCCAACCAATTGTTCCATGTTCATGTAAATGAACATCATCTATTTAATATGCAGTCTGCTGGTTCAATTTCTGCGATTCTGTCAACATTGTTTGTGAATGTCTCTCTCTCAACTGTTTTTCATGTGTAGTGGTTGACTGGTTGTTTGTGTGTGCGCGCATGTGTGTGTGTGTGTGCATGTATTCGACGCAGACTTAATGTCTACAATGTGAATTTTTTAAATTTTTTATTTCACTGAATTATGTCCTATTGTGTTCTATGTTTATTTGCATAATTTTCCAATACATTATAGTACTTATTTCTTATATTCATTTTTATTATTTCTTATATTCATATTTATGCATCGAATGCAGGCTGACTTAAATGGTAGTCTGCGTGCCTCGGTTTACTAACGTTTTAAGAAATAACACGAAAAGCAAAAGAATTTTCTACAAATGTTCAATTAAAATACTTCATAAGTTTAAAATTGATTAGTTATTCTAGTGAGTTAAACATCTTTCTAAAATAAAATAAATGTCTCCAAGCATGATTTTCACAGAAATTAAAGACTGTATTTCTTTCGTCGAAATAACAGAGAATGAAAGGTCAGTCATTGACAGCCTCACAGGCATCAATCCAATCCCCATAGACGTCAATTGCTTCGGAGAGAGCATTGATAGTTGTCTGGAAGTCTTCCTGGCAAACAGAACAACTGATGTATCCGGTCTTCCGTCTGTGATCCAGCTTTTCGTCGCACGGCTTCTCGTGATTGAAGAACGGGGAGTTGAAGACGACATCTAGCGGCTTGGTGTATTTTTTCTTCTGTGGCTTCCTTGATGACTTCTTGTGACGAACTTTTCTTGACTTTATTTTTCGCTAACTCCGGAACGCTGTTATCTTACGGTGATACCAACTCCTCCTCCTTATATACCATAAAACGGATAAACCACGTGATATCGTAAATACGTACAAAAAGTATTTACAAGCAAAGAATTAAAATACATAAATAGGATAAAATAATCTTTTTACAACTTGCTTTATTGTCTTTGTTTTAAACAATAAACTTTGCTTCATCTTTGTTTCATATTTTAATGACAATTACAATAATAATTTTAGTAATAATTATAATTAATAATAATTTTAATAATAGTAATTTTAATAATAATTGTTATTATTAATTATAATGTTAATGATAATATTAAACGATGACGTACTGTTACAGGGTTATCAAGGAGTAAAGAGCAGGCGTAACGGAGGGTACGTGTGTTACATATCACGGATGGCCATCAATGATCAGAGAGTGACTAATAAGGTGTGTTTGTTTGTGTGCGTGTGTGTGCGTATTTATATGTGCGTGTGTGCGTATGTGTGTGTGCATCCTTACTAAGAGGTTAGAAATATAAAACATCACACACAAACATCACACACACACACACACACACACAGCCTATTTAAATACGTGTTAATAAACTCAAAACATTTTATTATAAAAGAATCTCTTTGAAATTGAACTCGGTCACAGCAGCACAAAAAACAGACGCCTCTAACCGTTACACTGTAATATTCAAAATCACCATGCTCGTCATCATCATCATCTTTAACCATCGTCACCATCATCATCACCCTTTTTCCTTGACCTAGATATCAAAAGTCTATACAACATCCCTGTATGAGGTGACAGACCCGCCAAAAAATCTTACCAATGGCGTTGAAGAGTTAGTAGGTCAACGGGCTGCGGATAGTTGCAGCGACGCTGACGTCATATGGGTCCGGCCAATCAAAATCGAGTATTTTAATCCGGGTAGAGATATATTTTTAGTTATTTTTTACTTAATTTTTTGGTGACTTATTGATTTTTTTTGGATAAAATAACAATACTACAACTACTTCTACTGCTACAACTGCTACTACTACTACTACAACAACTACTACCTACTACTACAACTAATACTACTGCTTCTACTACTACTACTACTAATAATAAAATAATAACAATAGTAATAAATATTAAAAAATATTAACTCATTGAAACTTGTAACGAATACATATGTAGGCAGACGTCGTATTAATCTTTTCAATAAATATACACTGTCTCGTTTCGTTTGTTTTAATAATAATATTATTATTATTATTTACGAAATATAATAATAACAATAGATAGCAATAACAAGCTAAACAAACATATCTAATTGATTTCAATGCAATTAATACGTATTAATTGCATTGAAATCAATTAGATATGTATGTGTGTATGCATATATGTATGCCTGTGTGTGTGTGTGTGCATGTAAATATGAATGTATATGTTTATGTTTGTGTGTATATGTGTATGTTTGTGACGTCATCATCGTTATCATCATCATCACTCGACCGTCACCAGGAACTTCCTTTCCTAAGAACTGGACCACCCCAGAAGAAAACAACGACGACCCGATTGATAAGCTTCACTCGATGGCTAACTATGACGTCAGCAACAAGAAGAAGAACAACAACAACGACGACGGCGTGGAATTTCGTCGTTCTTTGCGCGAAAAACGCAACATACGATCGTGCAGGTCGAGCTGCTGCTGGCGCGTATGCTGCTGCGACGTGCACCACTTCGTCTGGGAGACCGCCGAGTACTTTGACTGCAGTCATGTTTGCACTGCCTGCTCACGCCGCTACCGTCCCATCATTGAAAGAGTTTGCTGATTGAGTGACTGGTTGGCTGGCTGGTTGGTTGAGTGATTGATTGAGTGATTGATTGAATGATTTAGTGAGTGATTTGTTGATAGATGATTGGATAGATTGATGAATGAATCAATCAATGAATGATTGAATAGATAGATGAATAATAAACTGTTTGATTCTATTAAACTGTTTGATTCTATTAAACTGTTTGAGTCTATTAAACATTTTAACTCGGATTCTATAATTGATAGGATGGTTACGTAGTCGGCTGATTGTTGAATGGCTGGCAAACGAGTGCACGAACAAATGCTGAACGAAGAATGAAACGAATTTATAGCACAAAACGTTCTTTCTCAAAATTTATAAAAAAAATATTTGAAAAATTTCAATAGTTATGTGTGCGTGCGTGGGTGTGCATTTGTGTGAGTAAACAAATATTCCATTCTCTTTTCCTTTCTAAAAATTAATTATGTTCAATATAAATTCATTTTCTATTTTCATTGTAATCTGGTGGTTTCTTTATAATTTATTCTTTTAAGTATAATTATATATTTAATAATAATATAATTATTATTTATTATGAAAATAAGAAGGTTTTTATATTTTCAAAAACATTTTTGACAATTTCAAAGCAGAAACTATCAAGATTATGAAGAAATGCTTCATTCATCTTCTCATCTATATAATTCATTTAAAACTAGATTTTATATCAATTGTGTGTTTATATTTTGTGTGTATATTTGTTTGTTGGTAATAGACCATAATTTTTACAATATTCTATAAATTCTACCGAATGTTTGGCGTTAATATGTTTGTAGTTCGTTTTTTCTATTTTTTTCACTAAAGTTTTTTGGTGAACGTTTAGTTTATTAAAATGCAAAATAAACTTATTTTCCGAATTCATGCTGCAAATAAGGCCATATTTCGATTCCGAATGAATCACCATCAGTGCGATTTAGTTTATATAGGGAAATATTCACTTTGTCAAAGTGAACTTAGATAGAAATTAGGTGTCAGGTTTCTTTATTGGCTGGTCATCTTTGTTGGTTTGCTTTTCTTCATCGATAGCATCATATTCTTCTTTGTCACTATTTACAATCCTAGTTTTTATTACTTCTTTGTTTTCATTGTTGATTAAGCGCCGTTGGGAGTGAGGTTGTCATTTTTTGTTGTATATTTATTTTTGGATTATTGAAGAAAAGGAAACCAACAAAGACTTCTATTCTTTTACTCTACTTGGTGGTATGTTTTTTCATCTTTATGTTTTATTTTATATTTTAATGTCAATAATAATAATAATTTTAATAATAACAATTATTATTAATTATAATGGTAGATCAATTACTCGGTCTTTGGCCAAACTAACTATTCGGTGTATGTGTAAAATATAGTTAAAATAATATTGGCAGTAATATCAATATGACATAACAATGCGATTTTAATATTTTCGGTAATTTAATGATGACGTTTCATTTGTTTGTTTGTTTTAAAATTAAAAAACAACAAAATTAACAAATGAACTAACTTTTATAAGCCAACGAAACTTGTTACTAATAAAATTGATGATAACAACAACAACAATAATAACAACAATAATAATAATAAACTCACAGTAATAATGACAATAAACAAACATTGCGAATACTTAAATAACAAAATTAATTGATAATGAAATTAATCACAGCAACAAAAAGACACTCGCACAGACATGCAAATGAACACCCTGAATTGATGACGATCATCGTCAAAGCCTACGCATTTATCATGGTCACCAACTTCATCTTCGTCGCCCTCAGTCCCCCAAGCGTCATGAGCCAGGGCTACAAAACGAGGAAAAAGCCAAAGGGGCCCAATGAAGATGGTTTGCTCTCTTCATTTTATGGTTTTTTCACGTCACCATCTGCGTCATTATCATTTTTATCTAAGTATCTATGTATCTGTGTAACTTTGTATCTATGTAACGCTTGTATCTACCTAACTTTGTATTCATGTATCTGTGTAACTTTGTATCTATGTAACGTTTGTATCTACCTAACTTCGTATCTATGTATCTGTGTAACTTTGTATCTATGTAACGTTGTATCTGCGTAACTTTGTATCTATGGATCTATGTAAAAATGAAGAAGTGAAGATTGATCACATCAACTTTCATTTGCGTCATCGCGATCTTCATCATTTTCATCCTTTTCCACCACTGGACGCATCCACACAACTCACAAGCAGCACACAACCACCGCAACCAGTGATCTTAAAGAACCATTTCATCGTAGTGGTAGACACGAGACCAGGGGTCATCTACCAAATTTCAATGTCCATGGACAGGAAAGTGACCATCAGCGTGCCCAATAAGATGAGCAGCACATGGGCCCTTAAAATGGAGCAATCGACGGGCCTTCTCTATTGGTTGACGGATGTCGATGGTGATAGCCAATATTTTACGTACACGGACATGAAGGATCCAGCGCATAATAAATCGATGAAGTACACCGGTTGGTTGGTTGTTGTTGTCGTTGCTAGCGCCGTAGCTGGCAAGCTGGGCGTTTTTAGTGTTGTTGTAGCAAGTTTGGTTGAGTTGAATTCATTTTTTTTTCACTTTTACACATTATTTTTTGAGCGTAAATATAGGCCAAGTTATATATACATATATATACACATACGCACACACACACACACACACACACACACACACACACACACACACACATATATATATATATATATATATATATATATATATGCGATTTGGCACAATAAATAATTTGTACATGTGTGAAGTGGACGACGAAGCCAGCCATCTTGCCTCCAGTCTTAGCATGACCTGAAACAACCATCGTCTTCATCACCACCCACATCCACACCATCACTATTCATCGTCCTCGCTCCAACTCTCATCACCATCTTCATCATCATCTTCCTCATCATCTTCATCACCATCTTCATCACTATCTTTCTCATCATCTTCATCACTATCTTCATCACCATCTTCATCACCATCTTTACCATCCATCAACCTGACACGTCGTAGGAGCGACTATAACGGACATCGAGATGGATTCGGAGCATCAGGTGATGTATTTGACGACCTTGAAAGGTCAGATAATAGCCTTCAACATGTCGGATGACTCGAAGACAAGTGTCATCATGCCAAAGAGGAAGAATATTAGCATCCAGACCGC